CGGTGCCGTTTTTTCTGACGACGGCCCTACGGTCTTTGTTAAAGTAATAATATATGTACTCTAAGCGTCTCCTTTTCATGGTAATTGCAGCTTATTTGGGTATTTGTTTAGCTTAAGCAGCGCGCTGCTGACAATGGACGATTTGCTCTAGCTTGCATAGTTTAGAAAATCGCACCTCGATCTATGCACGGCTGAGCGGCACCTTCGGCCACCACTAAAAAAACCCCTTGCTTTCGTGTTTGACTTGCAGTCTGTAAGACCTGTATCGTACGTTACTTGGAGACCAGCAAGTATTGTCCCATCTGCGATGTCCAAGTTCACAAAACTCGACCGCTTTTGAATATAAGGTAGGAGGAAGATGCAACGTGCATCCCGCATCTCTTACTCCCTTTTATATGGGCAGACCAGCGGTAGTCCTGTCGATGTTATCTCTCTGTCTGCGATTTAAATCTGAAAGGACTTGTCAATTTACAAGCTAACTCGTGTGTATGCTCTCTCTTTGGAGTGTTGCTATTGACTGAAATTGAAGATTTCTCTGGATGCGAGTCAGAAAGTTTTTGTTGGTCCTTTTTTGCATACGCCAGGCACTGACGCAGTGCCTCTGCCCTCTCCCCCATTCTCATGGGGACCAACTCGACAGTTTTTACCTCCACTTTCTCTGTCTCCCAAACAAGCTTTGCTCCTGCCATAGCCCCTAGTCATGAAAAGTCTTGCTGAAACTTCCCAAGCTAAGAGGCAAAAGCCTTTAAAGCATGCTTTTCCCTTCAGAGCTATTTTTCCTGTCAATGATACTTTCTGCTCTCGTTATGTTTTAGGGAGGAGACGTAGTTTTTAAGGCCTTCCTTCAGTCCGAGAGAGTTCTTTTTCAGTTGTGGTAGCAGAGATGAGTTTTGGTTTATAGCGGTATTTAGAGCAGTGTTAGTTTGATTACAAGCTCTTGTAAGTTAACTTTTTATGACTAGCCTCCCACTTTGTAGAAGATGCCTCATTGCTCTGAAGGATTATAAATGAGGAGCTGCTTCTTGGACTAAAATATCCCTTCACCTGCTTACTTTTGTGTTTTGGGGTTGTTCTTTTTTTTTCCAGGTCAGATAAAACTCTCCAAGATATTGTATACAAGCTAGTACCAGGCCTTTTCAAAAGTAAGTAGTTAAATCGGGCTTTTTCTCAAGATCAGAAAAGCTAAACCAGACCTGCTATCCTCTGTCAATGCCAGGAGTTACAGAGTAAATACTAAAAGAACAATCTATGCTTTTCCATCTAGATGAAATGAAAAGAAGAAGGGATTTTTATGCTGCTCATCCGTCGGCTGATGGTAAAAGCTTCTCGTTTGGCACTTCCATAAACGTAGCATTGACCTAGATGCTTTGCTCTTTCCTTTTTGACTTACAAATGATGTCATGTACCGTGACATGATTTTAAGAAGTAAATCCAGCATGATAAAAGTTTTTTGTTTTAACAGTTAGGTAGATTTAATTCATAATCTTACTATGGAGATCTTTTTTCTTCTTTTTTTTTTTTTTTCTTGTTACTGAGAATTGCCATTCTTCCTGATTTGAATTTCAAAATGTAAATTATTGTGGAAATTTCTGCGCAGCTGCCAATGGCTCTAATGAAGACAGGGGAGAAGTGGCTGACGAAGACAAAAGAATTATAACAGACGACGAGATAATAAGCTTATCCATTGAATTCTTTGACCAGAATAGGCAAGTTCCAGAATGGCAATATTTTATGTTTACCTGGCTGAGAGCAGCTCTATTTATTATTTGTGGTAATTGTTTTATTTCTTCTCGCAGACTGGAACGGAAAGGAAATAAGGAGAAAGAAAAATCAAAGGAAGAGGTAAATAACTTTCCTTTACTCTAGGGGAAACATAACACACAAACATTTTTGGGGCAGGTTTGGAGCTGAGAAAGAGACCTAGGTATGTGTATCTAGAACATGAGAAGCACACCTCCTGTCATGGCGCTAGGGACAGAAGAGGTAAAACATCTTCATACAGCTGTATATGCAAGCAACTTTGTAAAATAAAAAATGCCTGCAGTATTAACTTTAAAGCAGAATATGTTTTTTGTCAAATTCTGCAATAAAATAGTATTTTAATAGATATATTAATTTTTAAAATTACTATGTAATGCATGTATATCCTGAAAAGGCATTTAGTATTACATACAAATCTTTAGGTAAACAATTAGTTGCATTTTAAGTTACTGTATCTGGAACCCTGATTTATCACTCCTTTCTGTTGTTCCTTCTAAGGCAGCAGAAATTGTTATATTAGAATTCATCATTAAATAAAGTGCGTTTTTCTAACAGATTATGTAAAATGTGAGAATGCACCTTTGGTGGGAGTAATGGCTTGATCTCAGTAGACTGACTTTCTCTACTATGCCATTAGGTGAATGACAAAAGATACTTGCGCTGCCCAGCAGCAATGACAGTGATGCATCTAAGAAAGTTCCTGCGGAGTAAAATGGATATACCCAACACTTTCCAGGTACCTATGGGGAAAGAGGGATTTTTGGTTTTGTAACCAGCCTTGCTATTCTAAGCCTGCTGATGCTGGTGAGCACTTGTTTTCTCATTGCAGCCAATTCCAGCAAGTATTTCTGGTGTGTGCAATATGTTGATGGGATTACTGACATTATTTTTAAAATATCTATCCAGACAGTTTGGTGACACTCTGTAATTTCTTAATGCTGTAAATATCTAGCTATCAAGAAATTGCTCCTTCATATCTATGTAATAGATGTGAAAACTCCCTATTCCCTGCTGGGTTTAGTATAGCTTTATTTTCCCCCCAGCTTTCTGACATATGTAACAGCGGGGCTGCTTTCACCTCAGAGCGCTCATATGCCAGGGGTAAATGCCTGGGTGCTCCCTAATGCACGGTTTCATGTCTTGAACAGATTGATGTGATGTACGAAGAGGAGCCTCTGAAGGACTACTACACCCTAATGGATATTGCCTACATCTATACCTGGAGGAGGGTGAGTATCTGTCTCCAGTGTGCCTCCTCCTGGGGGATGCGGGGCCTGGCCCGGGGAGGGTGCTTACCAGGGTCTGCCCTTTGCCTTGCAGAATGGGCCTCTCCCCCTGAAATACCGGGTCCGACCTACTTGCAAGAGGATGAAGATCAGTCACCAGAGGGAAGGCTTGAATAATAGCGGGGAGCTGGAAAGTGACTCTGGGAGCGACAAGGCGAGCAGCCCAGCGGGAGGCATCCCCTCCACCTCCTCCTGTTTGCCCAGCCCCAGTACACCGGTCCAGTCTCCTCACCCCCAGTTCCCCCACATCTCCAGCACCATGAACGGCACCAGCAGCAGCCCCAGCAGTAACCACCAGTCCTCCTTTACCAACAGAGCGCGGAAAACATCGATAAATGGCTCCTCAGCCACTTCATCTGGTTGATGTGCCAACCAGGCTACCACCCCCGCCCCTCCTTTATATAGATCTCTCCATGCCATTACAGCTTTATAGATGCTAATCCATGTGACTCTCGTCCAAATTGCTTTCTTTTGTAGTGACACTGAACTTGGCTATAAAAGGCGGACTAGGTGACATTCAGGATGGACGTTAATGGAAACGCAAGATTGAAATGTAAATTGTTTTCAGAGGATTGGGAAGCAAACAAAAAGTTACACCTTCACCTTGTTCTGAGTGATGCGGAGTTGTTTCCGTCCCCCATCATCTGGACTTGGGAGTCTCCAGAAGTCGATCCAAATCCCGGGAAGTAGTTTGTTAATCCAGACTAACTCCTCCATTGCGTTCTCTTCGATTGTTATTGTTCTTATGCTGTTTTGTGAACCTGTAGAAAGCAAGTGCTTTTTCATCTTGAAATCCAACAAAACGGAAAGAATATGCATAGAATAATGCATATATGTAGCCATGTCACTGTGAATAACAATTTTTGCGTATTAGCCATTTTGATTCTTATGTTGCATCTTTTACTCCTCTGTTGCTGCGCAGAACCGATCAAAAGAAAAGTAAACTTCAGTTTTACAATCTGTATGCCTAAAAGCGGGTATTACCGTTTTATTTACTGACTTGTTTAAATGATTCGCTTTTGTAAGAATCAGATGGCATTATGCTTATTGTACAATGCCATATTGGTATATGACATAACAGGAAACAGTATTGTATGATATATTTATAAATACTATAAAGAAAATATTGTGTTTCATGCACTCATGATATGGTTGTTAAATTTCTAAACTGGTTCGACCCTTGCAGATGCCGCCTGTTTGAGCTTTGCTCACACTGCAAGGAACACTTTGCGTGTGAGAGCTACAGTATTGGGAAAGCACATTCGAGTCTCTGATATAACCGGGAGGCAATTGGCAATCTTGAAAGGATTTTACTGGCTTTGTCTTTTTTTTTCTTTTTTTTTTTCTTTTCCAAGTGATATATTTTTACTTTACCAAATGCTGAAGTGATGCAGTGAATTAAAAAAAACAGTAGGGAGAAAAAAAAAAAGTAAAAAAAAAAAAAAGTTGATGGACATGGAAGTTTTTGACCTGTTTGATTACCTTTTTATGATTTGGTGTGGTGGGACTGTGTTTTTAAAAGCACATGGAATCATTAGAGAAGCCATAAACTATTCGGTATAAATTTTACGGAACCAGCAATTGGCTGGGTGAAGGCATTTTATCTAAATTTGTTTTGATATATATGTATATGGTACAGTACTAACTTCATTAAAATTTAACAGGTACTTTAATATTTCAAATAAATCGTGGAGAATGCCTCCTTTTTAATGGCCTGCAAATAGGTGCGTTTTATGAGAGGCTTCTAAGGGTATTTTGGTTTTGGTTTTTTTCTCGGTAGAAGGAACTTTTCCACCATAAAATCTGAACAGCCCAGAACACTTTTCAGTTTGTGCTTTGCTTTGGTCGAACTTCGTGTGTGTTCATCACCCATCAGTTATACATTTGTGAGGGTGTTTATTCTATATGGATATTGTTTCATGTTTGTACGGGAAAATCGTAGTTAAACATTTCATTGTCTCCAGTCTGCAAAAGAAGCACAATTCTTATTGCTTTGTCTTGCTTATAGTCATTAAATCATTACTTTTGCATATAAATTGCTGTTATTTGTCCTGCTTGTTTTTATAGACCAGGTGATTGCAAATCCTCCACAAGGTTCTTGCTTATTGATGTATAATGTCTTGTTAAACAAGAGTTGATATTTTTTCCTGTAGTAAACATGTACAGTTCAATTTCAACAGTAAAAACTTCAGTTTTATATACACGAATAACTTTCATTTATAGCTGATCAAAGAAATAAACAAATAAAAGGGATAATTCATTGAAAAAATAGCAAATGACCTCTGTTGGTAATGTGGTGTTAAAGGACAAACATCTTGTTCTCATTGGAAGTCATTCTGGGTGTACAAAAGAGTTCAGTGACCAGAAGAGCACTAAAATAACAACAACAAAAAAATGCCTAGAAATCTCCCTGATCTGTTTTGGTTGCCTGCCTCGAAAACATGTGCTGTTCTTTATTTGACCCCGACTTATTCTTGAAAATTAGCAAACGGTGTGTTCCCAAAGCCCAGTCAGCCACAGGTTTCACCTCCTCTTTACTCAGACCTGGCCCCTGTTAAACTGCACTGCCTGGGAAGGGAAGAACGTGATTTTTCTGATGGCAAATGCCAGGTCCTTGTGTTGCTCTGGGTTTCTATTAAAGCCTCAGTGGAACTAAATAAGTCTTAATGTAAAGATAGCTCTCTCCATGTCTATCTTGGCACTATTCCTTCAACTGAGTTAATCACACTGTACTAGTTGAATTAGTTCACCCAAAGACCAGCCCCGAACCTGCAGCAGAGGCTGTTGTACGTTAGCACACTGATCAAATCGCGCTTATTTATACTGGAAGTAGCAGATAATCACAACTTTTAGCATTAAAATGGAACTATTAGCGGTCTTTGTAGAGTGTCCGTGAAGCATAAGGCAATGAAAGAGGACTTGGAAAAATCCCTTAGAGGTTTACTGAGTTCTTACAGAGCTTTTACCATCTCCCAATTTGACATCTCTCGTCCGAAAAAGACAAAAGCTTTCAGCAGCTCTCGCCGGGCTGCAGGAGCCGCCGAGGATGTTTGTGCTGCCATGTGAAACTTTTGTTTTGCTGCTGGCCCTGGGCAGATGGCACTGCGATGCGTGTATATTGCTAAGCACAATTGGGGAGGACGATCAAAGATAGATAGCATCTTGGTGTTCTACTTGGGAAGCTGCGCTCTCAGCCTCCTCGGTTTCGCAGGGCTTTCCTGTGCAGCTTCACAGCGAACGGGTTCCTTAAAAACGTACGGAAATCCTCCCTGTTTGGAAAGAAATCTCAGCTCGGTATATGTAATAAGAACCTTTCCATTATCCGACGTTGCATTTCTATAGATCGGGAGATAGAGCTGAGGTCTGCTGCGTATTTCTGAGCTTTTCAACAAGCCATCTGATCAAAGGTAGAGGCAGGGGCGGTCTGTGCCCGCTGGAAAATGATGGGTTTCTATCTTGTCCGACCCAATTTTCCGCCCTGGTTGAGCTGCCCGCAGGTCCACGCAGCGCTTTGTGTCGGGCCGAGACGGGGGAGAGGCGGTAACGATCCAGCTCCGGGGAAGGCGAAGGAGAGGGAGCGTGAAGAGCTGCTCGGGCTCCGGGAGAAGGCGGGCAGAAACAGGGAGGAGGAATGCGGAGATGTGCAAGAAGAGAACGACAAGGAGCACGACGAGCTGGCTAACCCGAGCTGTCTGTCCCCCGGCGCTGCTCAGACC